ATTATAATATAAAATTAAAATTATAATATATATAATGTATATTATTATATACACAATGTATATTAGATTCTCAAATTCTCCGATTACAGAATCTTCAATCTTCGATTAAAAAGGCATATCAACTTGATTCAAGACGGATTGTCTTTAAGCTCACGTGACTTTTCAGCTCGATAAAGGAACGCGATCGCGCATTCCGCGATAATATTCGAGGGATATTTGCGTCCCTTTATGAATATAAAACAGAAATTTGGCGTCTCTCCGCGAGCCGTTCGATCGTGAGAGTGAGTTTAAATGGAATGGGGGAGAAAGAGGGGGGCGAATGGGGGAGAGAGCGTAATAATTCGCCCGCGCATTATCGCTTCCGTTTACTCGAAATTTATACCCGCGTAGTCAGAGCCTGCGCGGAACCGTTCACTCGAGAAATAGATTAAATCGTTATCGCCTGCGCGCTATTATACGCGTAAAACGTCCGATAGAGGTAAATAATGTGTTCCATAATGGCATAATGGCGCTTGTATGACGCAACCGCCCGGTTAAGGAAATCGGTTACGACGCGCCTTTACCTTTCATCATAATCCCGATGATATTTACCGGATTCGTTTAAGGATTTAAGGAGAAAGAAATTGGAAGGATAATCTCCGCCAAGATTTAAATTCATCCCGAGATCGCTTAAATATAATAATTGAAAAACGCTGCTCGACAAGTTGCTTTTGTTATATTAAAAAAGATGGGATATAGTGTATATTAAAATCTTTCGATATATGTATATTTTAGAATTGGATTTATTTTATTGCTAAATAAATATAAAGTTATATCTTTTTTTTTACGTGTAATTCATAAAATGTAATTTAAATATTTATAAAATATAGAAATATCTAAAAAGCAAATTCTCAAAAAATTCTTGATAATTTGTGAAAATATACTACATCTTTATGGTTTATTTTATAATATAAAAATTAATTCGAGGAGCATAATTTAAAGTAAAAGAAATATTTTCGATCTCTCCTATTGCGTGCATTTTAAATTATTTAAGACAATAAAAAAAATTCGCGTAGTTTTGTGGACAAAAAGATTTTCAAAATTAGATACGGATTTTCCGTATCCGATCTATTAAAATAGAACGTTTTACCCGATTCCGGTCATCATAAATCCAAAATTCGAGGAGCTCGAAGTCCGCTCGGAAAAATTCCGAGATCGACAGGAACGTTGCGTTGTCGCGCTCGATTTCTCACGAGCGAACGAATGTTCTACTATGACATCGCCGCCTTATACGGGAATGACGAGTGAAAAGAGAGAAAATTACGGCAATTACCGATAAATTCTCGGAACGCTACTTCGTCATTAGCGGCCGCTGCGGTGAAGTCCGTTTTCTCCGTCGTCGGCGAGATCCTCGGCGACATAAACGACGTATCATTTCTGTGTCGACCGACAACACAACCGCGGTGCAGCCGGCCGGATAATGATATCTCGTTGCATGGCTAATGCCGCAAATTGCGGCTCCGCATATAATTGGGACCCGCCGCAATTCGACGGGACACGAGAATCGAAAAGAGACATCGAGAAGATGACTTGAAGATTTAAGGTATCATTTAGAGCCCCTTATTTATGTTCTGTGAAACTTATTTAGACCTCTAGAAAGCGGGAAATTTCTAGGAAAGACGTGAGAATCTTGCATGAGAAAAAAAAAATTCAATCGTAATTCAATTATAATTATAATTTTGGAAAATTATTAATTATAATTATTAGAGTAAATTCTTTTAAGAAGAAAAGACGTGATTTTTCGCTTGTGGGATTTTAATTTTCTAAAAATAGTTTGAAATTCTAAAAATTAAAACATTTTTCACAAATTTTTAAAAAAAGCAGAATTTTGGATTTTATTAAATAATATAATAAATAATAATAATTATAATATAAATAATAATTATTTTGATATTTCACTATAATGGTTGCGGGCGCGATCTTGACCCGATGTATCTTTTCTGCGTATAAATACCTAGTAATGTGTATCTACGTATCCTTAAATGCGCGATTAAACAACGGTAAATATGTGTTATCTTACTTAATTAATAAGCATAATTATTAAGCGTAATAGGCAAAGAGACAGCTTCGCTGTAACGAGTTACATCGTTTAACCGTTCATATTACAGCGCGTCTGAAATATTGAAGCACCAGGACACGACACGAAGAGAGAAAGAGAGAAAGAGATCGAGAAGCCCGCATAATATCCTTTGAAAGTTCCTGCCCTTGGCGGAATTAGCGTTACTTAAGTAAATTGCGAGAGAGTAGGAAGAATTAAAGTTGCGATCGGTGGTGAGCAAAAGAAAAAAATAAATAAATAAATAAAAAAGAGAAAGAAAAAAAAAGATGCAGCTCATTAAGCTTCAACTAAATCGAGGCTCCTATTTATGCGAGCTTCTCCTTCCTATAAGAGAATGTCCCGCAGGAATAAAAAGACATTGTGCCGTCTTTTGTCTCTTGCAAAAATGTTTCCTCTTTCCTTTTCCTTGCTTTTAGAAAGATTAAAATTCAGTAGAAATATATGAATTTTCTCGAAATTTTTTAAATTCTTAATTCATAAAATTCTTCGTTTTTAATTTTAAAAAGCATATTTTTAAAAATTGAAACTCTCTAGATTTATGACTTTTTTCTAATTACTTTTTTCTAATCCGTGAGATTTAATATTCTAGATTCATGAAATTATCATGAGAAGCTATAAACGAAAATTTAATTTTTCAAGATTTTTAATCTTCTTTCATTTTTTTCTTTAACATAATTTATACATTTTTACGAATTATTAGGAATTAATTTTTATTCTCCCATAATTTTGAAAGATAGTAGGTATATAAATTTTGTACAAATATATAACAAAAACTAGATAATTTCCTACAAAATTAGTCTCCTGGATCTCGCGTTTGAGATAAGCAATGCTATAAAAAAATCACCCGTTTCAATTTGCAATATATAAGACTCCCCAGACGATGCAGTTGAAAAAGGACTTCGAGAAGGATATTAAAACGCAAATGTCCGTGAAAGGATTCTCGCGGGACTCGGCCGGCTACCAGCGTTATTTAAACAAATCGAGAGAACAAAGAAGCGGGAGAAAAAACGGAGGCGGGAACGACGGGAGAAAAGGAAAGCCGGAAGGATTAAAGCGACGATTGGCGGCGTAAGGGAAAAAGAGAAAAAAGGATCAGGGAACAGCCACTTTAATTTCCATACCGGAGTCTCGCGGTACTTCTCACGGTAATTAAGAATCGCAATTAAGTGGGCGAAAAAGCGTCGCTGATAATTATCCGGCAGCGGCCCAAATTTGTTGCCGCGAGAAAAAAAAAGGACGGGCCGGCAAACGAGAAGCAAACGAAGTCGCAGCGAGGATCTTTAGAATCTCCTTAGAATCTCCTCGGGATTAGGGAGAATCCTTGCGCCAGCCAGGCGCGATTTCGGATTTTATGTCCGGCCGTATTCCCGTCTTTAGACAATGAGATTCCCGCCGTTTAAGAATCTTTGAATTAGGAAAGTTTGGGAGAGGCAAAGATACAGTGTTACATCTAGAAAATTAAACTCCAATTCATAAAGCTTTTCCCAGGAAAATTTTTGCGGTTCCAACATTTTCAATCTGTACGGATCTCTTTTTACTTTGCGAAAGCGTATTCTTATTTTTAAATTAGGAGATCTCTCGCATTTTAGAATCTTCTTAAATTTTAAAGAGAAGAATTTCAGGAAAGAGATCAAGTCTTGATCCTACAAAATTGAACGCTAGAGAGAGATGGCTCCTTGGCTTTTCTCTAAAACCTTTAAAAATCTTGAAGCCTTCGAAATTCTTTTAAAAAAGGCTCCAAAAGTCAAGGATTTTAGAATTTTCACAATTCCCACATTTCTTCATGCAATTTCTCTGTCTCCGAATGACGGAGATCGCGCGAAGAAGTTATCTGCGATTTATGGACTCACCGTTTTCCTCGAGGCGACCGAACTTGTCTCTGTAGAGTAATGCAAGTGGCAACCAGCAACGCGCGTAAAATGCACCGGCTGATAGCAATAGGACGAGGACGAGGACCGCCAGCAAAAGAGACTTCCGCCAGGATCCGTTTGGAAGGCTTAACGCGAATTGCGGTTCTGCAAATTGAAAACAAAACACTCGAAATGTAATACAAAAGTAAGTCAAAACAATATAAATAGTAATATAAATCAAAGTAATATAAATAGTAAAATATAAAATCCATTTAATTGCGAAATGTGATAAGCGATTATCATCTTACGGCGTGATTACGTGATAGAAACAACGAATCTTGAGAATTAAAATTTTCAAATACGATTAAATTAATTAATTTTAAGGGAAATATATATA